GTTCAATAAACATATCCTTTTTGTTGTTTATTTTTTATTCGTCGGTCATCAAAAAAGAAAGCTCTTTCTTTAGCTTTTTTCAAATTCTTTACTACTAAATTAGTTTCTTCAAAAACTTCTCTTTTGGCGGCTTCCTCGGGAGTTTCTCCTTCTTCTATTTTTCCACCGGGAAACATCCAACCTCGTTTTTTTTCTTTTATCATCAATATTTTCCCTTCTTTGTTTTGAATAATTACTCGGATAAAAGAAGTATTTTTTTCTTGACTTTCTACAATTACATCTTTTATCAACTGCGGATACTTACTGACATAAGTAAATTTTTGCGGTGGATGTATTCTGTATTTCTCTTTTAATTTTTTAACGCCAACTGGTTCGCTCAACTTGTATAAACGTTTAATTCGATAAGCAAACTTTCATTCAACTCTCCCCCCTCGGTTAAATATTTCATTATAAACATTCTCATTAGGAATTTGGTTAGGATATTCTATTGGTAAATCAACTTCCAAGATATACATTAAACTTTGAACTGGTTTATTAACATAAATCCACATTCTTTTTACTTCAGGGTCAGTTCGTCAACTTCGAAATTCATAGGTTTTTTGTTGATTTATAATCGGAGCCAAATACTCCTCATCAAAACTAATTATTATATCAGACTTGCTTGTAATCGCTTGGGAAATCTTTTCTTTTTTGATGTTTTTATTACTATTTTTTTCTCGTCCTGTTTTTGAATTATTATTTAGTAGAGGATATTTCAGGTAGTATAATTTGCTTTGGGTCGGACGATGTTCAACTTCAATATCCGAAATTACGCTTTGCAATTGTGGGTCTCAGTTAACTAACTTTTTTCCGCAAAAAATTAAACCATTCTGGTAAAGTTTTATAAACGCTTCCTTGACTTGGTTTTGAATGGTCGGGTCTAAGGTGAAACTGGCTTTTTCATAATCAAGCAACAAACCTAATTTTTGCCATTGTTGGGTAAAAATTTTTCGGTTTTGTGGAGACCAAACTTGCAGAGTGTAGGCTTTTTTTTTTTCGTCAGTATTGAGTTCAGTTAATTTTAATTTTTCAATTTTGCTTTGGGTAGCAATACCCGCGTGGTCAATTCCCGCAATCCATTTGATTGGTTTTTTTTGTAAATAAGAAAGACGCACCAAAAAGTCTTGGAGGACAGAATTTAGAGCGTGCCCCAAATGTAAGTTACCAGTAATGTTGGGTGGTGGCAAAAGCAAAGTTTTTGTCGTTTTCGTGTTTTGGATTAACGGAATTCAGTAATCGCAATTAGAATTTTGTTCGGTGATAGAAAAATGGTAGCGAGGAGGAAACATGTGCGTTTTTTAATTACTTTATACTAGCCTCTTGGGGAGGAAACATTATCAGAAAGTTTATTATTTATTTCGGTAGGATTTCACTTTCGGCTGCGGTTTTTTTGATTTGTAGTTGGCAAAGTTGGTTAATTTCCTCTGGAGTAAATTTCTCCCGTAAATTTTTTTGACTTTTGAGTAATTGCCTTCTAGCAAGGATACTACAACAAAGAATTTATTGAAGAGTTAAATGAGTTAGTAACTATTCTGCAAAAATTCAGCAACTAGGTTGAAAATTATCCGGAAAGTTTACCAAAGTGGTGGACTCTCTCACTTTGAGAATGGCTTTGTGATTGTATTGCTTTTATAGTAGACAGAGAAAGGAGTTTTGTAAGTTATCTTATAGAGGAAGAGAGCGAGGAAAAAAAAGATAATAAAAAAGTAGAGAAAACTAACAAAAAGGAAGAGGATAACAAATAAATTGTTTTGGCAATGATATACAATTTTACCCCAAACAGGAAAAAATTATTTACTCTTTTTGGAACGTTTAGCAAAGCTTTAAATTTGCTCTCAAACTCAGTTCTTATCCGATCTATTGCTTCTATTGCATAGTCTAATTCATTATACGGCAAACGTTCTCGGGATGATATTTTTCTTCCATCAGTCTTAAAAATTCTAGTTTAGTTTCCGAAACTGAAGCCAAGGCTTCTACAGGGTAAATTACCTTTTTTAAGGCTTCTCGACCTATTCCGGAGTTAAAGCTTGATGAAATTTGTACTTGTAATTACCTCCGCTGGTTTTTGGAGTTTGTTCCTTTAGGACTAACTCCTTAGTTAGTTTGCCAATAAGCCGAGGTTTGCATCTTAGGTTTTCGGCAGTAAAGGGTATATCTCAAAGCCTAAATATCTCTTTATAAAAATCTAGTTGAAAAGTCTTTTGCCATTCTAAAATTTCCTCAGCAATATAGGTTTTTAATATAGCTTGTAATTCGGCTTTTTCTCTTTCGTATTGATAACCAGTGGCTTCATCCACCAACGCGATAAGGCCAATCTTAGCAAATGATCTAACTAATATTTCACCCTGTGCAGCGATTATGGCTTGCCGAGGTGATAAATCCATGTTTTTTCTGGCTTCTAAATAAACATTACAAGTTGCTTCATAACCATTTCCTTTATAGCAAATAATTGCTTCAAACCGGCTTTAAAGGGTTGGAGTGATTTTTGACTTAAATATTCTTTCAATCGCGGCCCCCGCTTTTGTTGACTATCTCCAGCTACCATTTTTAGAGCATCTTGCGTGCCACGACTAGACAGAATTCGAGTTCCGTCGGCCAAGACCTAGCAGGGCAATTTAAATCCGGCCAAGTCTAATTCCCCTTCACATTTTATTACTCTGTTTGTTGTGCTCATATTAGTTGATTAGTTGTTGATAAGTTAGGCGTCGACCAATAAGTAAACTCGTCCACATATTTCGGTAAATGTTCTTTGCTTACTCAGTGTCTTTAAATGTGACCAAGCATTCTAGCCTTTTCCTTTACATATTGTTTGCACTATGATTGACTATCCTTTTGCACAAATTACTGTCTCGGTATCATTCGTCGGTGTAAACGTTAGCACCTTTCTTAACATTGGCTTTGATTATTGGTTCCAGAGTACTTGGGCAATGAGCTTACCATTTCTTTCTAACCTTCCTAAAACCGGAACTTTATCTTTCCAACTTCGTCCTTGAGAGTGAGGAACTTTTTTATCTTGGTGTCGGTTTTTGTTTTTGCCACCGATAAAAGTTACTTATAGCCGATGAAGCATAAATCACGCAGTTTTTTGAGTAACTTTAATTCTTACTTAAAAAGCTAAAAATACTTTTGTAATGTATATTGCTGTTTTCAAACACCGTTCCGTTTTTAACCTTAAAATACTTGCCACTTTTTTTGGCAGCGGCATTGGTTATTAGCACATTTATAAGCTTTGGAAGCAGGGTCGTAAGGGGAAACTACTTTTCCATTCCACCTATTTTGTTCCAAAAGGTTGATAATGCCTTGTTCGTTAGGAAATGCTTCCAACAAATCAAATAAAGTTTTAAACTTCAACATAATTATAAGATTATATTTTTTTGGTTTAAACTTGTATATAATTACCTAAATTACTTTAAGTAGTTTAGTTGAAAATAAAAACAGAAAATAATTTTACCTAGTGTAATAACTATTTTTGATTAAAAAAATTTCCAAACTTTTTTTTGGAAAAAATGATTGGTCGGTTTGGCTTGGTAAAATTGTATGTAATTGCTAAAAATTTTTTTAATAACTCTTTTTAATTTGTTTAGTTTTTTCGAGCAAATAGTTTTTTCAACTCAGGATTACCACTAGCAATAAACTAGTGATAAACAAAACAAATCAAGGATTTCCGGCAACGCTATTCTGAATTTTTCCCAGCGGGGATAGGGCTTGGTCCACTTCTTCGTCAACACTCGGAAGAGTATTAGGAATAGTTTGATTTACCAAGTTTGTATCAATAATTATTTTGCTTTTTTCTTCATCTGGCTTTGTTTCTCTCGCCCAGGTTAAAAGGCAACAACGTTCAAAAATAATATTAAGGACTTGTTCTAGTTGTCTTACTCCTTTCTCCCTTGTCTTGTTAATTAAAGTTTCCAAGGCTGCGGAGGTAATTTCACAGTTGTTTTCCGCAAAGCGAAATTTTTGGTGAATAATTTGGCGAGCAATTTCTTGCTTTTGCTGGAAATTATAACCAGGTAATTCAATAAGCAGAAATCGTGAACGCAAGTAAGACGGAATCTTTTTTAGGTCATTAGCCGTAACTATGAAAGTTACACGGGAGAAATCTAATTTTACATTAAGATAGTGGTCTAGTATTTCGTGGTTTTGCACCGGGTCCAAAATGGCTACTAAACAATCTAGCAGGGCCGACTTGAAAGGCGAGCCAGTTTTGTCAATTTCTTCAAAAACAATCACCGGGTCGGGTTTTCCAGTTTCTACTAGGGCTCGGGCTAATTGGCCTACTTCACTTCCTCCGGAACCCTCGCTAGTTCCGACGAGAAAAGAAGTTTCGGACAAACCACCCAGAGCCAAACGGAAAAATTGTTTTCCCCATGCTTGGGCAAAATTAAAGGCCAGAGTAGTCTTTCCCGTGCCCGGTGGACCGGCCAAACATAAAACTTGGGAGGAAGTTTTAACGTTTTCTCGTCTTTGATATTCAGCAATCTCCACTTTTTCTAAAAGTAACTCTTTGGTCTTATCTAGTCCGGCTTGTTGGTCGAGAATTTTTTTTGCTGCTGACAAATCTAACGGAGTGGGGGCTACTTGGTAAATCTTAATTAACTGACCGATTACTTGGATTTTGTATTGCAATGCTTCCTTTTGTTTGCTTCCCCATTGGCAATGTCCTTTTAGTCTTTCTCTTAACTTTTTTTCTTCCTCCTTTAAACGCTTAATGACCTCCATTAACTTATTAACTTTTTCACTTTTATTATAAATTTTTAGTTCTTTCTAGCAGGTTCTTTGCCACGATATTACTTTATAAAAAAACATTCTGCCACTCTTGGGCTATCTCCACAATTACTTAGAATTGTAGCCCAGCGAAAAACAGCAAAAGTACTTGTTGACAAAGGATGATTCAGAAGCAAAAAAAATAGCGAAAATTAAATTTGAGAAATCAATATTTTGCATTTTTTTCTACTATCATTTTCATGTTGCGAAATTGTTTCTCAATAATTAAAAGATAACGAACATTTCCTAATTTCGGACTATTTTTTCCTTTTTTTGGGTCGATTCTTGAGTGTAGCTAAACTTATGACAAAGTTTAACATAAACCGAAAATTGCAGCATATAATAGGCATATATTACAAAATGCGAAATTGTCTAGTTTTTAGTATTCAAGAGAGTTTTTTGAATAAAGAACTGATACTAATTTCGCAAAGGTAATGTTGTTTAAAAAATAACTAGTGCGGGGTTCATTCCCCGCCAAATATTTATTGAATTGCCAAACAATAACCGCGGTGCGGGGTAGGTCATCTTAAAATGTTGTTTGAACTACCTCATTCCCGTTAGTTTGACAGTTGAGTATTTATTTTCAAACTTTCAAACTCTTAAAGTCTTAACATTTAGAATGATTTTATAAGTAAAAATGCCTACCAAAATCAAGCACTTTTTAATTCATGTATAAATTATCACAAAAGAAAAAACCCAGGAGAAAATAAGCAAACCGTTTGAGAAAAAGGCAAGAAAAGAGATGTCAAAACCCACCCTCACCCAATTCTCAATTTTTTTGGAGTTGGTTTGGATGTGTTTTTGTTGGGAGACTAAAATTTACTGACAACGACAATGTTTATCAACATTGTAATTCTGGCTATTCATCACCCAGCTTGTTTTCGAGTTGGGTTTTCTCTTGCCGGAGTTGGTTTAGTTGCTTTTGGAGTTCAAAGATTTTTTCTCAGTCGACTCATTCTTCATATCACTTTTCTTCCGCAAAATTAGGATTAAATTTTTTCCGTAATTGGAGATGTTCCCGGAAAAAAATTTCCGCGGTTTGCTGGGACAAAGTATTAATTGTCCCAATGCGATAAACCGCGTCTTCCCCAAGCAGTTGCCGCACGTAATTATGAGCGGACTTCTGGTAATCTCCCGAGAAATTAAGGTCAATATCGGGCGACTTTTCCCCTTCCCAACCAAAAAAGGTCTCGAAAGGTAAATTATGTCCTTCCATAGTTAATAAATTAGGACAATGAGGACAATTTTCTTGTTCCTGGTAGTCATAACAAGAGAAAATTCGGTCCGGAGCTTGATAAAGTTCAGTGTAACGACAAGCCGGACAAAACTTATAAAAAGGCAAAGGATTTAAGTCAGTAATTCTGCATAAGTAAGCAATGAAAGAAGAGCCAATTGAACCCCGGGAGCCGACTAAATAACCATCGGCGTGGGTCTTTTTCACTACTTTATAAGCCAACCAATAAATAAAAACGTAGCGACCGTGAATGATTTTTCATTCTTTCTCGATTCTTTCTCGCACGAACTCCGGCCAAATTTCACCAAATAACTCGTTGGCTCGCTGCGTGTAGGCCGTTATTAAATCGTTTTCTTCGCCCCGCACATTTTCCGTGGCTGAGTAATTAAGTGGCGGCTGCTTAATATCAACTTTGCCAATACGGTTTACTATTTCTTGCGGGTTCTGAAAAAGGATTTTTTCTATTTGGTTTTTTGCTCCCAAAAAACTCCAATTACTTACCATTTCTTCCAGAGTAAGTAAGTGTTGGAGTGGTAAATCAGCAAACCTATCTTGCTTTCCCTCCCAAGTCGCTTCGTAATAAAGATAATGTTTCGTGTTATTCATACCCTCGTTAGCCACAATAATCTGTTTGAGCAGCCTTTCCTTTTTCTCACAATAATGAACATTATGAGAAGCAATAATAAGCATATCTAGTGCTTCGGCCGTGGTAATAATTCTCCTTGCCAAATCTTTTACGTCTTCTTCCCCCATTTTCCCATTTTTTCATAAATAACGAAAACTTTCCGGACTATTTACTTCGACATAGTCATAGAAACGCATTTTTTCCCTAATTTTCTCTTGGTCCGCAAAAGAACTAAAAAGTGCAAACATTTCTCCTTCGCGGCTGCCGGCTGCTCCAATCAATAGTCCCGCCCGATGCTGAATTAAATCGGAGCGAAAAACACAAGGCACCCGAAATAACCTTTGCGTATGTGAAAGAGTTATCAAGCGGTAAAGATTATTCAATCCGACTTGGTTAGTTACCAAAACTTTTACTCGTTGTCCCCGATTAGGAAAATATTCGTGATTAATTAACTTTTTGGTTTCTTCTCAATGAGTAATTTGTTTTTCGGCTAATAATTTAGTTAACTTTTCTAGTAATTCAGCCAGTAATTTACTGTCATCAAGAGCTCGGTGGGCTTGTTTGATTTTGTCTTTGCTGGACATTCGGCTCAATCTTTCTAAACTATAAGATTTCCGTTCCGGCAAGAGTATCCACGCTAGTGGTAGAGTATCAATTACCGGATAAGGTAGCTCCTCGCCCAGGTGCTTTTTTCAAACTTTACTTAAAAAAGGATAGTCAAAATTTCGAGCATTATGGGCTACCAAAACACAATTTTCCCAGGCTTTTTTTAGTCGGGGTAAGATTTGACTAATTTTCGGAGCCTTTTTTAACTCCTTGGGGTCAATATCAGTATACCAATTAGCCAAAATTTCCGGAGCAATTGGTTTTTCCGGGCAAACTAAATATTCGCCCTCCCGAATAATTTTCCCGTTCTGATAAGTTACGTATCCTATTTCAATAATTTCGTTGTAAGCCGCAAAAAATCCGGTGGTTTCTAAGTCAAAAACACAATAAGTCAAATCGGTTATTGGCACTGTCAAAAGTTTCTGATTAGTAGCAGAATTGTGATTAAAAATGTAGGGTGGTAAGTCATCTTCCAACATTTCTAATTCGCAGCCGTAAATAATTCGCAAATCCCCGGTTTTTTCTTGGCTAAATTCAGGAAAAATTTGCACGTTATAATGGTCGGTTATCGCCAAAGCTGCGTAATTTTTGGCTCGGGCACTTTTGACGTAATCGGCGGCATTACTTATCCCATCGAGCGTGCTAAATTTAGTGTGAATGCCTAGTTCAAATATTTTTCTTTCTTTTCATTCGGGCGGAAGGGAAAAGTAGTGATTATTCGTGGTTAAGGAAACTGGCTTGGTCGACTGGACCAAGTTATTTTTTGTGGCTTTTTCAGTTGGCAATTTTAGTGATGACGTTAAATGATTATTCCCGTTTTTTTTCCGTAAAGAAAAACGAATATTGGTCAAGCCTAACTTGTTTAATATTTCTTTGAGAGCAGCAATTTTGGGTTGCCAAATCTCCAAATCACCTTTTTTGGCAAAATTCCAACAAACGGTATTGTCTTCGCTTTGGTAAACAAACTCGGTCAGTGATTTTTCTTGTTGACAAAAAAATAGTAAATCATTTTTGTTTTTTCAAAAGAAAGGCGTCGCTCAAATTA